CCCATAACTCGGTCAAGACGGTGTTCCGATCGAATGATCTTCGTGGTGTGAGATCTCCAAGATCGTTGAACCTAAACGCTCTGATACCAAATACAGTATAGAAAGAATAATCTTAGTTTGAATAAAGAATAACTCTCTTTATTGTTGTCACAACTCAACAATCTTTTATAACATTAGATTTCCTTTACTAAACCTATGATGAATAGAGCACTTCTTTTTCTTATTCTAAGTAAAACAAGATAATTTCCATTAAGCCTATCTTGTCACTAACCAACTTGTTAATGATTTCTTATACAACAAAGGTCGCCACCACTCGAGAGTAGGATCATTGGCGTGGAACAACCACATCTTGACAACGGGAGGAATGGACGGACAGATCATCAACAACGATGTGCGGATCAGGTCACACGTTGTGGAAACATACAGGGGTCACACTCAAGAGGTTTGTGGGCTCAAGTGGTCTGAATCAAGGCAGCAACTAGCTAATGGTAGCAACGACACTCTGGTACACATATGGGATCGGTCCAGGGCTACGCAATGGCTGCACAGGCTCAGGGAACATACTTCTGCCGTAAAAGCTCTGGCTTGGTGCCCATTCCAAGGCAATTTGCTTGCAATCGGTGGTGGAACAATCACACATGGGCTTGCTTGAATTCAGTAGACAATGGTTCCCAAGTTTCTTCGTTGTTATGGAGCAAGAACGAAAAAAAGAGAGTTTCTTCTTTCTTCGGTGAATCGTAAGGAATACGGAGAGGTACGTGGAGCAGATGATAGGAAGACGGGCTTGCAGCCGTTGTTGGCGTCAAATAAAGCCATGTAAAGACGAGGTTGAGGTCGACACGGGACCATAAGGAAACGGTCGCAGAAATATCTGGAGCGGAAGAGAGATGACCAAAACTTTGAGATGCACTTGAACCTCATCACCGATTTGGAGGCAATTTGCAAGAATCTCAATCAGGAGTTCCAGAGGAATCTCTGGTGCGACCACCCAAGTGTTCAAATCCTGCATCTCTG